TTCCAAAAAAATCATAAGGGGGGTACCTTCTTACTAAAACGATGAAATTTCAAATTTTTTTTTGTCGAGATTTTGTGTCCTAATGGTCCCTCGTGATACCCTGAACTCCATAAACTAAATTATTCTCAGATTTGAAGCAGAAATCTATGAAAAAAGGCACTCAGAAAAATTGAAAAATTGATAAATCACCCCAATTGCTTAACACGATTTTATCTCAGGAACTATAAGTGCAAATGAGCTGAAATTTTCAGGGATTATAGTCCTTTGAAAGGGATAAAATTCAGTGAAAGATTTAGCTTTCTATCTATAATAGAAAAAAAGTTATGACCTTTCAAAATTTTCCAAAAAAATCATAAGGGGGGTACCTTCTTACTAAAACGATGAAATTTCAAATTTTTTTTTGTCGAGATTTTGTGTCCTAAAGGTACCTTGTGATACCCTGAACTCCATAAACTAAATTATTCTCAGATTTGAAGCAGAAATCTATGAAAAAAGGCACTCAGAAAAATTGAAAAATTGATAAATCACCCCAATTGCTTAACACGATTTTATCTCAGGAACTATAAGTGCAAATGAGCTGAAATTTTCAGGGATTATAGTCCTTTGAAAGGGATAAAATTCAGTGAAAGATTTAGCTTTCTATCTATAATAGAAAAAAAGTTATGACCTTTCAAAATTTTCCAAAAAAATCATAAGGGGGGTACCTTCTTACTAAAACGATGAAATTTCAAATTTTTTTTTGTCGAGATTTTGTGTCCTAAAGGTCCCTCGTGATACCCTGAACTCCATAAACTAAATTATTCTCAGATTTGAAGCAGAAATCTATGAAAAAAGGCACTCAGAAAAATTGAAAAATTGATAAATCACCCCAATTGCTTAACACGATTTTATCTCAGGAACTATAAGTGCAAATGAGCTGAAATTTTCAGGGATTATAGTCCTTTGAAAGGGATAAAATTCAGTGAAAGATTTAGCTTTCTATCTATAATAGAAAAAAAGTTATGACCTTTCAAAATTTTCCAAAAAAATCATAAGGGGGGTACCTTCTTACTAAAACGATGAAATTTCAAATTTTTTTTTGTCGAGATTTTGTGTCCTAAAGGTACCTTGTGACACCCTGAACTCCATAAACTAAATTATTCTCAGATTTGAAGCAGAAATCTATGAAAAAAGGCACTCAGAAAAATTGAAAAATTGATAAATCACCCCAATTGCTTAACACGATTTTATCTCAGGAACTATAAGTGCAAATGAGCTGAAATTTTCAGGGATTATAGTCCTTTGAAAGGGATAAAATTCAGTGAAAGATTTAGCTTTCTATCTATAATAGAAAAAAAGTTATGACCTTTCAAAATTTTCCAAAAAAATCATAAGGGGGGTACCTTCTTACTAAAACGATGAAATTTCAAATTTTTTTTTGTCGAGATTTTGTGTCCTAAAGGTACCTTGTGATACCCTGAACTCCATAAACTAAATTATTCTCAGATTTGAAGCAGAAATCTATGAAAAAAGGCACTCAGAAAAATTGAAAAATTGATAAATCACCCCAATTGCTTAACACGATTTTATCTCAGGAACTATAAGTGCAAATGAGCTGAAATTTTCAGGGATTATAGTCCTTTGAAAGGGATAAAATTCAGTGAAAGATTTAGCTTTCTATCTATAATAGAAAAAAAGTTATGACCTTTCAAAATTTTCCAAAAAAATCATAAGGGGGGTACCTTCTTACTAAAACGATGAAATTTCAAATTTTTTTTTGTCGAGATTTTGTGTCCTAAAGGTACCTTGTGATACCCTGAACTCCATAAACTAAATTATTCTCAGATTTGAAGCAGAAATCTATGAAAAAAGGCACTCAGAAAAATTGAAAAATTGATAAATCACCCCAATTGCTTAACACGATTTTATCTCAGGAACTATAAGTGCAAATGAGCTGAAATTTTCAGGGATTATAGTCCTTTGAAAGGGATAAAATTCAGTGAAAGATTTAGCTTTCTATCTATAATAGAAAAAAAGTTATGACCTTTCAAAATTTTCCAAAAAAATCATAAGGGGGGTACCTTCTTACTAAAACGATGAAATTTCAAATTTTTTTTTGTCGAGATTTTGTGTCCTAAAGGTACCTTGTGATACCCTGAACTCCATAAACTAAATTATTCTCAGATTTGAAGCAGAAATCTATGAAAAAAGGCACTCAGAAAAATTGAAAAATTGATAAATCACCCCAATTGCTTAACACGATTTTATCTCAGGAACTATAAGTGCAAATGAGCTGAAATTTTCAGGGATTATAGTCCTTTGAAAGGGATAAAATTCAGTGAAAGATTTAGCTTTCTATCTATAATAGAAAAAAAGTTATGACCTTTCAAAATTTTCCAAAAAAATCATAAGGGGGGTACCTTCTTACTAAAACGATGAAATTTCAAATTTTTTTTTGTCGAGATTTTGTGTCCTAAAGGTACCTTGTGATACCCTGAACTCCATAAACTAAATTATTCTCAGATTTGAAGCAGAAATCTATGAAAAAAGGCACTCAGAAAAATTGAAAAATTGATAAATCACCCCAATTGCTTAACACGATTTTATCTCAGGAACTATAAGTGCAAATGAGCTGAAATTTTCAGGGATTATAGTCCTTTGAAAGGGATAAAATTCAGTGAAAGATTTAGCTTTCTATCTATAATAGAAAAAAAGTTATGACCTTTCAAAATTTTCCAAAAAAATCATAAGGGGGGTACCTTCTTACTAAAACGATGAAATTTCAAATTTTTTTTTGTCGAGATTTTGTGTCCTAAAGGTACCTTGTGATACCCTGAACTCCATAAACTAAATTATTCTCAGATTTGAAGCAGAAATCTATGAAATAAGGCACTCAGAAAAATTGAAAAATTGATAAATCACCCCAATTGCTTAACACGATTTTATCTCAGGAACTATAAGTGCAAATGAGCTGAAATTTTCAGGGATTATAGTCCTTTGAAAGGGATAAAATTCAGTGAAAGATTTAGCTTTCTATCTATAATAGAAAAAAAGTTATGACCTTTCAAAATTTTCCAAAAAAATCATAAGGGGGTACCTTCTTACTAAAACGATGAAATTTCAAATTTTTTTTTGTCGAGATTTTGTGTCCTAAAGGTACCTTGTGATACCCTGAACTCCATAAACTAAATTATTCTCAGATTTGAAGCAGAAATCTATGAAAAAAGGCACTCAGAAAAATTGAAAAATTGATAAATCACCCCAATTGCTTAACACGATTTTATCTCAGGAACTATAAGTGCAAATGAGCTGAAATTTTCAGGGATTATAGTCCTTTGAAAGGGATAAAATTCAGTGAAAGATTTAGCTTTCTATCTATAATAGAAAAAAAGTTATGACCTTTCAAAATTTTCCAAAAAAATCATAAGGGGGGTACCTTCTTACTAAAACGATGAAATTTCAAATTTTTTTTTGTCGAGATTTTGTGTCCTAAAGGTACCTTGTGATACCCTGAACTCCATAAACTAAATTATTCTCAGATTTGAAGCAGAAATCTATGAAAAAAGGCACTCAGAAAAATTGAAAAATTGATAAATCACCCCAATTGCTTAACACGATTTTATCTCAGGGACTATAAGTGCAAATAAGCTGAAATTTTCAGGGATTATAGTCCTTTGAAAGGGATAAAATTCAGTGAAAGATTCAGCTTTCTATCTATAATAGAAAAAAAGTTATGACCATTCAGAGTTTTCCAAAAAAATCATAAGGGGGGTACCTTCTTACTAAAACGATGAAATTTCATATTTTTTTTGGTCGAGATTTTGTGTCCTAAAGGTACCTTGTGATACCCTGAACTCCATAAACTAAATTATTCTCAGATTTGAAGCCGAAGTCTATGAAAAAAGGCACTCAGAAAAATTGAAAAATTGATAAATCACCCCAATTGCTTAACACGATTTTATCTCAGGGACTATAAGTGCAAATGAGCTGAAATTTTCAGGGATTATAGTCCTTTGAAAGGGATAAAATTCAGTGAAAGATTTAGCTTTCTATCTATAATAGAAAAAAAGTTATGACCTTTCAAAATTTTCCAAAAAAATCATAAGGGGGGTACCTTCTTACTAAAACGATGAAATTTCAAATTTTTTTTTGTCGAGATTTTGTGTCCTAAAGGTACCCTGTGATACCCTGAACTCCATAAACTAAATTATTCTCAGATTTGAAGCAGAAATCTATGAAAAAAGGCACTCAGAAAAATTGAAAAATTGATAAATCACCCCAATTGCTTAACACGATTTTATCTCAGGAACTATAAGTGCAAATGAGCTGAAATTTTCAGGGATTATAGTCCTTTGAAAGGGATAAAATTCAGTGAAAGATTTAGCTTTCTATCTATAATAGAAAAAAAGTTATGACCTTTCAAAATTTTCCAAAAAAATCATAAGGGGGGTACCTTCTTACTAAAACGATGAAATTTCATATTTTTTTTGGTCGAGATTTTGTGTCCTAAAGGTCCCTTGTGATACCCTGAACTCCATAAACTAAATTATTCTCAGATTTGAAGCAGAAATCTATGAAAAAAGGCACTCAGAAAAATTGAAGAATTGATAAATCAACCCAAATTGCTTAACACGATTTTTTCTCAGGAACTATAAGTGCGAATGAGCTGAAATTTTCAGGGATTGTAGTCCTTTAAAAGGGATAAAATTCGGTGAAAGATTCAGAAAGTTATGACCTTTCAAAGTTTTCCAAAAAAATCATAAGAGTTGCTACCTTCTTACTAAAACGATAAAATTTCAAATTTCAAAAATAAAATTCTGCAAAAAAAAAGATTTGGAATAACCTTGAAAACGTTGTCAAAGTCAAAAATCAGTGCCGCTATTTTGTTTCCCTTCATGATACTATGTAACTCTTGTTTAAACTTTTTTTTTTTAAAAAATGCACCGTTTGACTGTCTCAAGTTAAATGGACCACCCTGTATATTTCAGTTTTTTTTTTTTTGTGGGACTAAAGAACCTTACCTCGACATAATTAACAGGAAACAGTCCCACCATGGCGTTCAATTCACCCTCGTACCAATTCTTGTCCACCTGCCTTCTGACGTAGATAAGGTCCCCTCTTCTAAAGGTCAACTCTCTGGCCGTTTGACCCACGAAATTGTAGAGGGCTTTAGCTACTAATCTTGGTTCAGGTGACCTATTAAAAATTTATTATTTAGTACCAACATCCAATAGAAATTGGATAAAGTTTAGTATACCTTGGACGCGTTTTTGTGGGAGCAAGATCGTCGAAATCATCATATCTATTGAGTGGAATGAGGGGTTTTTGCGATGGGATGAAGTTGTCCGTGTGCCTCCTGGATTTCATGTCGTGAAGTTCCTGGAAATATCCACAATAATTGTAGACTTTTGACCAGGAAAAACATAGTTTCGTTTAGTCAAACACTCAAAAACTTGTTAAATATAAGCATAAAATTGTTGACCAAACGAAACTTACTTGCATACTCTTGCTAACCTGGAGGTACTTTCTCTTTCTTTCTTCTTCGTAGATTTTTTTCATTGCCTCGGCCTGACGATGGGCCAGCTCGTCTTCCGAAACATACTCTTTGATTTCCGTTCTCACTGGTGATTTGTAGTGAATCGTCACTTCGTTTTCTACATATTTCCTCGGAGATTCTAAAATAGAATAGACTTACAAATACTAACACTTTTTTTACTTTTTGCAGAAGAACGGCATTGTAGTAAGAAACAAAACTATTTTATTACCAAAAATCGCATTAATCATAATCCAAAACTACAAACTATCACTTCACGGAGAAAATGTCTTTTCTTCTTCGCGCTAGGCTACTCAACTGAAGAAAGTGTCGCTCCTAATACGACAAATCATTGAAGAAATTTCCCGCCAATATTTTAGAATCCAATATGTATGTGAACGATAATCTGGGTCAGATAGAAGGAAATTGTTAGCGGTTTAATCCGATAAATAACTAGTACTTGTGGTCATCGAGTAAGTACTTAAAAGTGAATGTTAACAATGCACAAATTATAGCGCGGAAAGAGAAAGACATATAGGTACTACTTGGATTACACTTGTTATTTAAATTGTGTCACGTTTACTACCAGAGAAATTTAAGTCAGTTGTGAGAAATAATAATTGCAAAAATATACCAATGGCCGTTCATTAGCACATACACAATTTGTTTGCATTGACAACTTATAAATAAATAAGTGGATTTAGTACTGAATCCAATTTAGTAGTACTACGTAGTATTGCTGCAACTTGTTAATTAGGACATTTTAATTTGTTTGCGACGGCGGAAATTAATATTATGAGAAAATGTTAACGAATTTCTCAGTTTTTTTTTTAAATACTCTTTCCCATAGAAATATGAAGGAGATTCTTGAATAAAATTTTTATGCAAGTACCCTAGGTCGATGCAGTAGTAAAAGTGAAATTTCATAGTCCATTGACACAAGGCTCAAGGCGTAAAACTTTTACTTGTATATACGATTATTCAAATACATACTGTAAGGCAAAGGTCCATAAATCAAAGGAAAATCAGCAATCGTATTCCTATACGAAGCCAAATCTTTTCTACGAGCTTCCTTTTTCCGCAAAAACATTTTCCACAGCACAATTATTATAACTAACACATTATTAGGTATTTGATTTAACAATAATCTTATCAATTGATTAGGTAGGTACACAATTATTCGACAAATCCTCTCCGTCAGTTTGCGAGGTCGTCACGGCTGAAATATGACTAACCTTTGTAGGAATTCCAATTTTTCTTTTTTCTTCGTGTATTATTGTATATAAGCCACACAGACAGAAGAGAATTATATTCAAGATCACATTGTGTATTAATGTATTCTTAAGGTGTGCAACAATACATTATTAATAAAAGATGATCTGGAATGATTGGCGATTGATCACAGAGTAGTTTGGCTTGGCGTGTGCGTAGGCCGTAGAGGATTGTTTCAATATTTACATATCACTTACTTGTTTTGAAAAAAATTGTTCACCAGAAACTTTTATACTAATAAGCAGGCCCCAGTTTCACAATCAATCATTCAAACTAATAGTTACAAGTTGACCACAAGTTTACAAAATAAGGCTTGAACTAACCAATGGTTTTGGCTCAATTACATATTATAAAACACATATTACCAGGTGTCTTGTAGTTACCGATGTTTGTGAAACTGGCCCTAAAGCACTCGTGAAAATCGTATAAAAATAGCCAAATCGAAATGTTTACAGCATGGCACCAATTGGGTCTTTATTTAAAAATGGGAAACTATTTTTGTATATCGATTTAATTGTAAATATGTTATCATCGGTTATTGTACAGGGTGGCACAGCTTTAAAATATTTAAAAAAATTAGTTACCTGGTTCTTGGCTCCTTACTCCTCCCTGGTTTTTTGGCGGTGGCGGTGGGGGTGGTAAATCTGGTTCTACTCGGAAAATTATAGAAAATCTAATTCGGGTTTTTTGTAATTTTGTTTAAAAATCAATCTGGCAAACTGACAATTAAATTCAGAATAATATTGACAAGGGTGTTAAAATCTACCCTGTGTAAAGTTGAATAACTGCACATCAGTTGTCGATGAAAACCTTTATATTAATGCTGCAATAGTTATTTATGTATCAAGGGAATTATGAGGGTGTTAATACCCCAGGGCAAAGTTTGCCTGTGGGTATTAACACCTGATAATTCCCGTGGTACATAGATAATTTTATTTCCTACTGAATTTACTGTATTTTGTCCATTTTTATAAAGAAATAAACCATAAACCAAAATTTCTATTTTTTTGTCAGAGTTTCACCTATTCAAGGTAAAAGCGGGAGTTAAGGAAATCCTTAACTCCCTTGGGAGTTAAGACCCTGTTTCTGATTATCGTAACCAAGGTATTATATGGTTATAATAGTTCAGTAGGAAATAAAAATTGTTTTGAAATCATTATTTTATCGTCAGTTTTATGCCAAAAAGCGCATGCAACTTTAAATTTGGATTAAATAAATGTTAATGTTGTACCTATTGATGATTGTGTAATATTGTACGATAACATTGTGGGGCCACGTTGTTTTTTTTTGTGACTATACAGTGTCCGGAAATAAATGCAACAAAACTATAAGTCCAAATGAGCTGAAATTTTCAGAGATTTCAATCATTTACTAGGATAAAAATCACTGAAAATTTTAGCTTTATATCTATGACAGAAAAAAAGTTATGATTTTTCAAAAATCTAAATCATAAGGTAGCTATTTTAGTACTAGCATGATGAAATTTTCATTTTTTTTATATGATTTTGTGTTTAAATGATCACTTGGGAATCCCAAATTCCATACACTAATTTATTCTGAAATTTGGAACCGAAATCTATAAAAAAAGACACTCAGAAAAATTGAAAAGTGATAAATCATGATTGTTTCGGAACTTATGGGTGGACCTCTGCGGGCCGAGCGCAGCGAGTTCCGCAGCCATCTATTCACCAATATGTTATTCAAGTACAATACTAACTTGATTCTCTCAGTTGTGAGTTTTTCTCATTAGTTCAAAAACTACACGTTTCAGGTGAATGTCTTACTTAAACAGTTCAACAGTATAATGGTGAGTAGATGGCTGCGGAACTCGCTGCTTGTGACAAGTTATTCAAGTACAAACGAGTAGATTGTTGCGGAACTTATGGGTGGACGCAGCCATCTATCCACCAATATGTTGTTCAAGTGCAAAGTACAATACTAACCTAATTCACTCAGTTATGAATGTTTCTCATTAGTTTAAAAACTACACATTTCAGGTGAGTGTTTTATTTGAACAGTTCAACAGTATATTGGTAAGTAGATGGCTGCGGAACTCGCTGCGCTCGTCCCGCAGAGGTTCACCCATGAGTTCCGCAACTTGTTGAGATTTTTTGTCTGAATGATCATTGGGAATCCCTCAAATTCCATACACTAAATTATTCTGAGATTTGAAGCCAAAATCTATGAAAAAAAGCACTTAGAAAAATTAAAAAGTGATAAATCATGATTGTTTCGGAACTTATGGGTGGACCTCTGCGGGACGAGCGCAGCGAGTTCCGCAGCCATCTATTCACCAATATGTTATTCAAGTACAATACTAATTTGATTCTCTCAGTTGTGAGTTTTTCTCATTAGTTCAAAAACTACCCGTTTCAGGTGAATGTCTTACTTGAACAGTTCAACAGTATATTGGTGAGTAGATGGCTGCGGAACTCGCTGCTTGTGACAAGTTATTCAAGTACAAACGAGTAGATTGTTGCGGAACTTATGGGTGGACCCAGCCATCTATCCACCAATATGTTGTTCAAGTACAAAGTACAATACTAACCTAATTCACTCAGTTATGAATGTTTCTCATTAGTTCAAAAACTACACATTTCAGGTGAGTGTTTTATTTGAGCAGTTCAACAGTATATTGGTAAGTAGATGGCTGCGAAACTCGCTGCGCTCGTCCCGCAGAGGTTCACCCATGAGTTCCGCAACTTGTTGAGATTTTTTGTCTGAATGATCATTGGGAATCCCCTAAATTCCATACACTAAATTATTCTGAGATTTGAAGCCGAAATCTATGAAAAAAAGCACTTAGAAAAATTTAAAAGTGATAAATAATGATTGTTTCGGAACCTATGGGTGGACCTCTGCGGGACAAGCGCAGCGAGTTCCGCAGCCATCTATTCACCAATATGTTATTCAAGTACAATACTAACTTGATTCTCTCAGTTGTGAGTTTTTCTCATTAGTTCAAAAACTACACGTTTCAGGTGAATGTCTTACTTAAACAGTTCAACAGTATAATGGTGAGTAGATGGCTGCGGAACTCGCTGCTTGTGACAAGTTATTCAAGTACAAACAAGTAGATTGTTGCGGAACTTATGGGTGGACCCAGCCATCTATCCACCAATATGTTGTTCAAGTGCAAAGTACAATACTAACCTAATTCACTCAGTTATGAATGTTTCTCATTAGTTCAAAAACTACACATTTCAGGTGAGTGTTTTATTTGAACAGTTCAACAGTATATTGGTAAGTAGATGGCTGCGGAACTCGCTGCGCTCGTCCCGCAGAGGTTCACCCATGAGCTCCGCAACTTGTTGAGATTTTTTGTCTGAATGATCATTGGGGATCGCCCAAATTCCATACACTAAATTATTCTGAGATTTGAAGCCGAAATCAATGAAAAAAGGCACCCAGAAAATTGAAAAATTGATAAATTTACCTCAAACTGTTTAACACGATTTTATTTCTGAAGCTATAAGTCCAAATGTGTTGAAATTTTCAGAGATTGTAGTCCTCTAGTGGGATAAGAATCCCTGTAAATTTCAGCTTTCTATCTATAATAGAAAAGAAGTTATGACTTTTCAAAGTTTTCAAAAATCTAAATAAGGTACGTAACTATCTTAGTACTAAAATGATGAAATTTCAAATTTTTTTGTTGAGATTTTGTGTCTGAATGATCGTTTGGGTCCCCCCAAACTTCATACACCAAATTATTCTGAGATTTGAAGCCAGATTCTGTGAAAAAAGGCACTCAGGAAATTGAAAAATTGATAAATTCACCCCAAATTGCTTAACACGATAACATTTCTGAAACTGTAAGTCCAAATGAGCTGAAATTTTCAGGGATTGTAATCATCTACTGGAATAAGAATCGCTAAAAGTTTCATCTTTTTATCTATAATAGCAAAAAAGTTATAACATTTCAAAGTTTTCCAAAATCTAAATCATAAGATTTCGGAATTTGTGATTTCATTTGGAATTACAGCTGAAAGAATTTCATCATCTCTTTTTGAATTTTCAACCTCTGCATTTGAAATTTTGGTTTAATGTGGAAGATTTTCTGAATTTGTAATTTTGATTTCTGCATTAGTTTCGGAATTTGTACGATCATTTAAAATTTCACTTTTCCCTAAAATGATCTCATATCTTTGAATTTTGAACTCCGGAATATATGACATTGAAATTTTCCAATTCTTCATGAGAATTTTTCATATTGTGTAGGTAGGTACTATTTGAATTTCTAGTTTCTTCTTGTAAATCTTCAAAATCTATATCTATGTATAATCAGAAATATTTTTATTCTCAATATATTTCAGATTCTGAAATATCTGAATTTTCAGTTCCAAAATCAATTTCTTCTTCAGTAATTTCAACATCCTCATGAACTCTTAAATCCCTAATTTCGCTTGTTAAAAGAAAGTTTAAAAAAATAGTCCCAGTTTCTAGTTTCTACTGGAGAATTTTTTGGATTTATAATAATATTTGAATCTTCTTTTTTTCTAGAGGATACCTTTGAATCCGTAATATCCACTTCTTTTGGAATTCTGAAATTTGATATCTGCTGCTTTATATTTCCTTCTTTTTTTAAAGAATCATTAGAATTTAAATATGAATTTTTTTAAGAATTTCTGAAACCTGCAACATTATAAAATGTGCAAATTTGCAAGTTCTTTGGAAACAACCTCTCTTGAAAAATTGTCAGAATGTACATTCAAATTTCCAACTTCTATTTCAGAATTTGCAATATTTGAAACACCAACTTCATTTGTATTGATTTCGGAATTTGTAATCTCACGATCTTTGTGACATTTGGAATTCACAACCTCGGCTCTTGAAATTTCAACGGAGATTTTCAGAATTTATCAAAGTTTCAATTTCTCCTGTATTAGTTTCACAATCTGTAACACTGCTAATTTCATTTGGAAGATTTTCAGAATTTGTTAGATTTTCAAAATTTGCAATTTCTGGTTCTGTATGTAGAATATTAAGAATGTCAGTACTGCAAGACTCTTTGAAATTTCAACTTTAATTAGAAGATTTTCAGAATTTGAAATACCAACTTCATTTACATTGATTTCGTAATTTGTAATTTAGCTTCTTTTGAAAGAATATCCTGATATCCTAGACTTTTCGAATTTTCAACCTCTACATTTGGAATTTCTTATCTGGAAGTGCTTTACTGGGATAAGAATCACTGAAAATTTCAGCTTTCTATCTATAATAGAAAAAAAGTTATGTCTTCAAAGTTTTTGAAAATCTAAATGATGAGGTAACTTAATACGGAAATGATGAAATTTCAATTTTTTTTGTATTGGGATTTTGTGTCCCAATAGTCCTTTGGGATCCCTCAAAGTCCATACACTAGATTATTCTGAGATTTTGAGCCAGATTCTATGAAAAAATGCACTCAGAAAAATTGAAAAATTGTTAAATCACCCCAAATTGCTTAACACGATTTTGTTTCTGGAACTATAAGTCAAAATGAGCTGAAAGTTTCAGGGGTTGTAGACCTCTACTGGGATAAGAATCGCTGAAAATTTCAGATTTCACCAAGGATACACCAAATTATTCTGAGATTTGAAGCCTAAATCTATGAAAAAAGGCACTCAGAAAAATTGAAAAACATAATGTGACAAGTTATTTAAGTACAAAC